GTAAAGTTTGTGCGATTGGTTACATCATGCAAGGCAAAATGTTTTGCTGCCCTTTGGCACAAATCTTCCAACTAATGCATGCGCAATTGACTGAAAAAAAATCAAGTGTTTTTCCAGGAAGCTCCAAATTTGGTTCTGTATTTCTCTTTCGGCAGCTTTATTCAGGAAATATGAACCTTGCTTTGTTTTCTTTGACGGGCTAACACTGCATTTTGGGGGCAGTTGGTAAAAAAAGGCAGAGAGCATGTTTGGTTGATAAGAAAGTGCAACGCTGTATACGTGTAAAGCACCTTATTAGCATCGATCGATACTTTGATTGAGTTTCGTAGATCCAAACATTTTTTTTACAAAATAGTTTCTTTCTAATCAATAGAGAACGTATACAAATTAGCATCGCTATCCATGGGTGCCCGTTTTCAGATGGTTGCCGAAGTAGTGTCATCTGTGCGATGTTTCCAAGGGTTTCAAAATGTGTACAAGCACCACAGGTTGGTTTTAACACAAATTTGTGTGTCGCGGGGGTAATACTATAGTTTTCCAGCGATGTTCTAAATTGTGAAATGAAATTTGGAGCGTATGTTCCCGATCACAAAGAAGGCGAACGTCTGCCGGGACTGTTTTATCTTTCCGGTGAGTTCATTAGTCTGAAGTTCGAGTAGTAGCACTTTTCTTCTTTTATTTAGCTTTATTTTCTTTTGTTATTGTGCTATTTTTTGATGGAAGTTTTTGTTTGTTAGTAGGTATTCAACTTTTTCTCTCGAATATGATTGCTCTCTTTTTATTAGACAGCAGAACGACATAAACATGATCACATCAGTTCTCATACATTCCCTCAAAAGCAACGGCTCGGCAGAAGAACAGGTTCCCCTGGGTGTGCTAAGTCCAAGACTTTGCTTTGCAGCTTGAAAAGATATCAGTAACCCGCATAGACGTGAAAAGTGTGCGAACCGCGTATGCCTACCTTCTAGAGCGCGATTGGCTCGTGGGTACGGTGGTTACGGTATCTCCACTCACGAGCCAATCGCGCCCTAGAGGGCAGGCATACGCGGTCCGCCCAAATAGTAATTTCTAAAGCGGATTATTGATATCTTTTGAAACTGCAAAGCACAGTCTTGACTTAGTGCATCCGGGGGACCCGAGAACGTTAATATCCCAAGGGTATAATTCTGCCGAGCCGCTGTTTTTAAACAGATGATTATTGACCGCAATTATTATACTTATGATTACCTTGCAGAATAATATATCGCTTTGCCTTGATGATTCTAATGTAAATTTGCTTTTCGTTCCTTATGTTAACCAAGTTTTTCGCTTTGAACATTTTCTGTACACGTTGCATGCAAAT